TATATATATATATATATACTGTGATGCCCAGCTATAATTTTCCCTTAATGTTTCTCCTGAATCGTTGCAGATGCTGTGATGCGGTTTTCACTAAAACTACTATATGAAAGGGGCACATATGGTCATGCATAATATTATTCTTTTGCATTTTTTATTGCAGAGATATTGACCCAACTTTGATTTCTTAAATGGAACCCTATAGATTTTGTAGCTCAAAAACAATCGTGAAGAGACGTGTTCATAAATATGCATATCACTATATGTTACATAACAAAATTTTTCGAGAAATTAAGAGTTTAAAGCCGCACGCCGACTGCTGGTTTCTGGTATCTCAACGAGAAATTCCAGGTGATATGCGGCGAGGCCATTCCCTTCCCGTTGCGTCGACCCTTCGGTAAATGTAGTGATGCAATGTGCAAAGGTGCCCATGAAAATACACGATTTGCTCTTAAGACTACACCCTCTCAGTCCAGGCGTCAATGTATTAACCCATATCATCTTCTGAGCAAATCTGTACGCAACAAGGTACTATTTTTTAATTAATTAAATACGACAAGATTTTAGAAAATATTTGAAGTATTAACATTAGAGAAACCAAGGGAAGATTGGATAGTGATCATGTTCTGAATTAATAAATTCGTGTGCTGTCGGAAACAAAACATTTACTATTTGAAAGACTGAAAACCTCAGCCGGTAGAAAAATATCGTAAAAATAAAAGTAAGAAAAATACTTTAAAAAACAGAAAAAAGGTAAGTTAACAATTTCAGAAATAGCTTGAATAGACACAGAATCAAGTTAAATAGTGCGTATATTCACTGCAGAATATGACCACAGATAACCAGCCCTGAACAAATACAAAGAACAAATAGCAAATAACACACAAATATAATACAGACACAAATTACCCTTTTAACGCTTTGAAACATCATTTATCAACTGTGAATTGAATATCGCCTCCTAATCAAATTCCCTTCACAAATGTCCGAGCACGGTAACTACTGCTTGACCATAGCTACACACTACACTCGCCCATAGCTCGTCGATGCGTGATGTTCAGTCCGCACGCGTGTTACTAGCGGCGAAAATTCGGCGTACTTCAACACCTTAGACTTGTGTTGCTAAACTAAAAGTCTTACGGCGCCTCGTGATTTTTCAGCCCCTCTTTCTCTTGACAACTACAGTTTCCACCCTAAATCTCCTTCAGCTGCACCTAGTTCAATTAACTGCTGCAGCGATATCAAATTCTCCGTAACTTCCTAAATCTGCTACGCCTCATTTCTACTCGCTCCTGCCCTCGTACAAACTCTTCTCACGACGAGATGTCGTCTACATCCTATCAGCCTCGCTCACTGCACTCGCCTGCTCTCGTCGGCTACTCGTACAGAAAAGGGGGCGGAGCGGCCAGCTCTTCCGCTTTTGAAGGGGATGGCGTGACGTCACGGGGAAACCCCCTCCGTTTGCCGTAAGATAAAAGTCCGCCACCGTCGCGCCGCTGGTCGCAGATAACAGATCGCGCGGCTACCGACGAGAATTATTCGACGTGCTTGTGCCACGGTAATCCGTCCTGGCTGAATTGTGGGTGTTGTGGGGATGTTGAGCTTGTCTCATATACCACAATACACACACACATGCACACACACACACACACACACACATATATATATATATATATAGTGTATGTGTGTGCGCGCGCGCGTGTGTGTAATAGTAGTTAAACTACAATAATTTATCGAATTACTAACAACCTTTAGTGAAACTCGAATTAATTTACCTTTACCTTTACCTTTAGTGAAACGAGTGTTCAATTCACATCTGTTTTGGGCATCAAATGAAAGAGTGAACCGAAGCAAATTATGCAAATGAGTCGTGAAACCAATTTTCTCGTGAGCACTACACGTTTCGTGTGAGCAGGGAAAAAAAGCAAGAACGAATTAACGTTCGTCAGAACAGCAGGTCTGAGAGATATGTTATTCCCACATATAATTTACGCGTTTGAGCTCGCAAGTTTTCAAACGTACGAAAAGAAATTCCTTTACGGGAGCATTGTTCCGCCCAGTGTAGTGAATAAATGAAGAGGGGTTTCACACGCAGGAGTCCGAAACAACATTTCAAGGAACCGGTGTCGGAGATAATTGGCGCAAAGTAAACCCACGCAATGACTGATAAAAATACAATTAGTTAAGCACAGAAATAAAAGAAAACATGCTTTACCAACAGTTTAATTAACATAATCCATTCAGTTTAACGAAGAGAATTCACCCTCTGTTCTCATTCACCTAGTTATAACCAAGAAATTAGCTACCCATATGCAAATAATTACTATTGTACAAGTATTGAAGCGAAAACTCGCAATATTGGTCGTTAATTCTAAATTCATGGATTTTCATTCCCTTGAAGTAAATTACATTATCAGATATCATTGCGTAGTCAGAATCCCTTTTGGGTGAATTCACAAAAACGAATATGTTCTCGACACATAAATTTTGTATCTCCAAAAGCAACTCGAGCATTTATTTCCAGCGATATTGCTAAATGGTTTGGTAAAACTGAATTGGACGAATATAAAAAAAAAAGAAGAATGATCGAGTTCATCAACAGGAAGCAATTCTTTAAAAAAATTAAAAGTTATTTTCAGTTAACAGACAAAAGAAAACCTATTATTAATTTGAAACCAAAACTTCTCTTTTCGTATTTCTCAAACATTGTTATAATGTTCAGAAAAATTGAATATACATACATAATCATTTACTGTCCTAAAAAAGGTTTACACAAATTTTAAATTTTTCATTTAATAAAAGAGGTAAAGCTACACTGATGAGATATTCGGCCAACTTTTTGGAGGAAAGAAATATTTTTATAGTTTCAAACAAATGTCTTTCATTTGATAACGTACGCCCGACCACGGGCTGAACACACGACACTTCAGTTAAAAGCCTAACGCTCAACCACATACCAAATAATGCTCCCTTTGGGGAGCGTAGATTTATTCCTTTCAATCAACTAAGTATTTCTAAACATACGAACTGACAAGTAATTAAACATTGATTTCCTAGGTTGAAAGAATAATGCTCTAAAACTGAGCTAATCAAGCTCGATTAAATAGACGTTAATAAAATTCTTCCAAATCAAATAAAAAATTTGTGTTGAAAATTGTACAGCTTAAAACGTACTAGTTTTCTACGTTGGTACTATTCAAACACGCTTTGCGCAGAGTATGTGTTCGTTTCATGTAAATAAAACTATTTGTGTTTAGGTGCAAACGCCCAAACAGGGGATTAAACCGCGGACCTATTAGTTAAAAGCCTAATGCTCTACCGCCGAGCTATTCGCGCTCGCTTAGTGTAGCGTTAATATTAATTTTCCAATCAACTAGTAATTTCTTATTGGGAATAGCACAGCCTAAAACGTATAACTGTTTTTCTTCGGAACGCTTGGAGCACGCTTTGCGCAGAATTTATCTGTTGGTGTCATGTAAACAAAAATATTTGTGCTTAGGTACATACGCCCGAACAGGGGATTGAACCATGGACCCTTAGGTTAAAAGCCTAATGCTCTACCGCTGAGCTATTCGGGCTCGCGTAGCACGGCCTTTATAATTTTTTTTCAAATCAACTTATAGTTTCAAATTGGGAACAGCACAGCTTAAAACGTACTATTTTTTTCTCCGGATGGCTAGGAGCACGCTTTGCGCAGAATTTATCTGTTGGTTTCATGTAAACAAACATATTTGTGTTAAGGTACATACGCCCGATCAGGGGATTGAACCCCGGACCCTCACGTTAAAAGCCTAATGCATAAGGCTTAACTATTCGGGCTCGCTTAGCATGGCTTTTATAATTTTTTTTCAAATCAACTTATAGTTTCAATTTGAAATAGCACAGCTTAAAACGTACTATATTTTTTCTCCGGAAGGCTTGGAGCACGCTATGCGCAGAATTTATCTGTTGGTTTCGTGTAAACAAAATTATTTGTGTTAAGGTACATACGCCCGATAAGGGGATTGAACCCCGGACCCTCACGTTAAAAGCCTAATGCTCTACCGCTGAGCTATTCGGGCTCGCTTAGCATGGCCTTTATAATTTTTTTCAAATCAACTTATAGTTTCATATTGGGAATAGCACAGCTTAAAACGTACTATATTTTTTCTCCGGAAGGCTTGGAGCACGCTTTGCGCAGAATTTATCTGTTGGTTTCAAGAAAACAAAATTATTTGTGTTTAGATACATACGCCCGAAAAGGGGATTGAACCCTGGACCCTTGGGTTAAAATCCTAATGCTCAACCGCTGAGCTCTTCGGGCTCGCTTAGATGGC